TCACTCACTAAAACCCCTCAAACACTACTCCCACCAACCCCACCAATCACCAGCAATCGAGCGATAGGGTTTGTGCAACTAACCCTCCTAAGTCAAATTCTTATCAATCCCAACTACCAAAATCCAACCTTCCACCACCAAAAGATTCATCGACCTCCCCTCTTCAAAAGCCCTAACAGTCTAGACCAAGTTTGTTCTCTGTTCATTGCCAAAATATAAATTTGGATAATAAAGTAGTATTTTAAAAGTTTATAGGTGAAAAAATGTCATTAAACCATTATTTAGGTAAAAAAAAGTCGTTAACTCCATTATTATGCAAGCTTCTAGACTTCTTTATAAGGTGGGAACCATGAGTCAACCTCTATGCCTGTGTGGTTTATATAATAAACCCCTAAGTCTAACAGTCAAAATATTTATATTTTGGGTGTGTTTGTTTCTCTATTTTGAGTAGGATTTTTAAAATTCTACCCCAAATACATATTTGTTTCCCTATTCTGAAAATTCAATTCAATTATATTCAACTATTTTTAAATCCCCTAGGTTTGTTAATTTAACTAAACACCCCCAACAAAAAAAAGTTTAGAAATTGACAAAAACACTCACTCCACCACCCACATTTGCCAAATTCCGGCCACCGCCATCGAAAGGTGGCCCAAATCTGGCGTAATTGCACACTATCGGCTGGATCTGGCTGGTAGTGCGCCGATCTAGCCTTTTCTGGCCAGATCCATCGTGGATCTGGCCGGAAATGATCAGATCTACAGTCATATCTTTGGCCATTGTTGACAACCAAATGTGGCCAGATTTGACCTTTTCCAGCCAGATCCACAATGGATCTGGCCGGAAAAGGCCATATCGACGTACAATCAGTCAGATCCAACTGGTCGTGCACCATTACGGCAACTTCCAACCACCCTTCGACAATGGTGGTCGACTACCAGCATTTAATGGGTAGATATGAGTGTTTTTGTTAATTTTCAATGTTTTATTGTAAAAGTGTTTAGAAAATTTTACCTCGTACTAACCACCTAACTCAACTTTTTCAAAAATCATACCCAAAATAATAAAACAAACACACCCTTAAATTCTTATTGACAACAAAAACATCTTTTCTTAAAAAAAATAATGAAAAAAACTCAAAAGAACATTGTCAAAAATAATGAAACTCTCTCTCTCTCTCTCTCTCTCTCTCTCTCTCTCTCTCTCTCTCTCTCTATATATATATATATATATATATTAGAGGTGGGCATTTGGGCCCAGCCCCAAAACTCGATCCTAGAACCGGTCCTAGGAGGCCTGGTCCCGTAAGGAGGAGGGTCCGGGCCCTCCTCCAAGGCCTGGGCCCAAATTTTTTATGTTTTTTTAAATGTAATCCCTGCCAAATCACATAAAACCCCCTAGCAATATTAAAATGAACATAAATTACGAAGGCTAAAATAAAATTTTACAAAATTTATTAAATAAAAGAAAAAAAAAAGTTTTACTAACCGTTGGTTGAATTTTATTTTTTAACCATTGGCTGGCAACGGTCACATGCCAGTTATAATTTATTTTTTAACCTTTTTTTTTTTTCATTCCCCCCAACCCCCCCCCCCCCCCCCACCTTACAACTACACTATAAATAACCTAAAATCTTTCATTTTTTCCACACCAATCAATCTCTCATTCTCTCAATCTCTCTACTTCAAAACTCCAATCAATTTCTCATTCAATTATTATATTATATTTATAATTTATATATATTATTTATATTATTCAATTTTTTTCTATTTTTCAATATTTATATTATTAGTTAATTTCTTTCATTTTAATTATTTATATTTTATCATAAATTTGTAATGGCTCCCCAAATGAGTTATGTTCCATCCACCGAAGAAATAGAAGGCTTCAATTCATTTCACCATTTCCTCAGAGGAAGCAGCTGCAATTCCACAACTACATTCAATTGGGACGAGGTGTAGCCAAACACATGCAAGGCGAGTCAACGGGCACGGGCATAGCCAACCCCCCGACTATCAAAGAGGATCATGTCCGATGTATGGCGATACTTCATCAAATCAAACGGCCAAAGACAAATGGGGAGGGGGAAGAATCTGTGGGAATGTAATTTCTGTGGAACCATTATTGGCACTGAGAAGGGGACTTCGATGATGCGACGACACATGGAGAAGAAGCACCCCCAAATAATGCAGTTGTCTGATGCATCTTCAAGCGGACTCTCCATTGTTATCTGAAAATCTTTTTTTTATTCATATGGTTAAACTGTATTTTGTCCAAAATATACCCCTGTTAGTAGAACTACAAGTAGAAGAGATATACTAAAACTTTTATACAAAAATAAATAATAAACTTAAAAACGAATTTCAAAATTTTAGGAATATATCTATTGCATTACATCAGACATATGGGCTTGTAGATCAAAAACGATTTTTTAACTGTCACAGTACATTTCTTAGATCATAATTGGGGTTTACAACAAAAATTGATAGGTTTAAACCATTATATGAAAAACATAGTGCTGAAACTATTTATTTTACAATTCTTGAAATTTTGCAAGAATATTTATTAACTGATAGAGTTGTAGCGCTAACGCTTGATAATACAACTGCTAACACCACGACAATCTCTTTATTTGAAAAGAGATTGGATCCGCATGGTGAAGACAATTTTTTTCACCAGAGTGTGCTTGCCACATCATCATTTGATAGTTAAAGCAGGTTTAAATGTTATACATTCGAAGATGGAGAGAGTGCGCAGAGCTATCGGATTTATCGTCAGCGGTAGCACTAAACGATGGCAAGAGAACGTCAAAATTGTAAGCAAGAGGATCCACCGGTTCAACTTTGAAGTTATGTATAGACATGCTTATTCGTTGGAACTCTACCTACTTGATGTTAGAAAAAGTTTTGCCAACGCGAAACAAATTACAGATTTTGTCAACGGAAGAAAACGTCCAGAGGAAGTTGTCAACTATGATGATTAGGCGGTTTGTGAACTTTTTTATTCATTTCTTCAAATTTTTTATGATGTTACTAATACTTAAGTGGTATTATTATCCAACTACTAATTAGTGTTAGATATTTTACTTCAAATTGCTAAAACTTTTGCTCAAATAGAAGATAACAACATTTTAAGTGAAATTGTTTAAACATGGAAGAAAAAGTAAGAGATATTGGTTAGATATTCTATTCTTATATGGATTAGGCTTTATCGATCTTAAGTTAAATACATGTAGTTAACTATATAATTATTGAGATATGCCCGCATTAAGATATGATTATATGTCTTATTTAACTGACTTTAAACAAAAATTTGATAGCCTTTTTTCTTTATATGAGAACAGGTATAGGAAGTGAAAGTGGAAATAGAGCGTTCAAGAGAGGGGATCCAAACCTTAATGCAGCCTTCCGTCAAGGATTGAGCAAGTGGACGAATGTGAAACCTGACGGAAGTAGCAGCTCCAGCCATACATACATGGACCAAATGAGCTGAATCGCTACCTACAGTAGACCTGTCCTTTATGACGATGAAGGAGCAACTGATAGGGTATTCTTCAGTGGTGGAACCAACATGAAAACGATTCCCCATTGTAGGCCAAATGGCAAGTGACATTTTGTCTGTACCGGTTTCTACAATTGCATCCGAGTCAACATTTTCAACAAGTGGTCGGATTCTTGAAGACAGAAGATGTTCTTAACCGATGAGATGATTGAAGTAATAACATGTTAACGGGATTAGACTCATGCAGAAAGAAGACTACAATAACACCCTAAAGATCTCGAACTACTCGAACTCTTTAGGATTACAGATTGAATAATGTAAACACTGTTGACGATGAAAATAAATAATTTAATTAAAAAAATTTATTAATTGTTTATTTGTGACGCGTAAATGGTGAAACATGAATTTATGTTAAAAATTAAAATTAACTATTAATTAATTTTTATTTTTTAAAATTAATTAAATTTTTAAAAACTTATTAATCTACCCTGAAAAATACTAAAAAACCACTTACAAATTTTATTTCACCCCCAAAATATATAAAAAAAAAAAAAAAAAAGGATTTGGGGGGGGGGGGGGGGGGGGGAATTGTCAGCGCCTATAGGATCGATCCTAGGATCGGTCCGGGTCCTCATTGCTTATGGGCCGGGACCGATCCCAGTCAGGCCAGGCCTATATATTAACTAAAGGGGAAAGATAAGCTCTGATTAAGATCCTGCCTTCTTGCCTTTACCTGGTAACAAAACCAGATGAAGCTGTGAGATGAGTTTTAAACACTTATCGAAACTTTTCCCATTTTTTATATGGCGTTTGTCTATAATTTATAGCATTAAACTCAACAATAATCACATACCTCCTTGTATTCGTCACGTTTAATATAATCTACTATTATATAATAACATATTGGTATAACATTTGGCACTATAAAATATCAATAATGCTAAGTCCATATCCTCCTCTCCCAACCATCTCTTACAAACCGACGTGACAATTCGTTATTGACAAACAAGACCCATGCAAACAGACAATACCTATTTATAAGGTAACCAATGACGAACTGTTATGTCAAAAGTGTAAAAAAAAGTTGTAAGATTAAATTGTGAACCTACATTAATTACCCAAAAAATCTGTCATATTTCTCCAACCCCTAGAAAGATTGAAACCTAGTTCCCATCTCCAATGCATCCACATCAAATCCTGACTGTATTGCCAACTCTCAGTTAAAAAAACACTTATGGTTTCCCACACCATGAAAGGCTCTCAACCACAATGATAGAGCATTACGTTTCATAGAATACCGCCAATAATAACAACAGCATTACTTGAGCATACAGAGTTTTCATGTTCTCCAGAATCTGTGTGATTAGCTACACATTAATTCTTAATTACTAGCATATCGTAAGACGTGGGTTAGATTTAGGTTTAATTTAACTACAATATCCCCAGTTTCCAAAAGCGCCATAATAGACCATAGTTACACCTTTTGTTGATATATAGATTAAGTACTTCTCCGAGCTTCCCATTTAACCAGCATATGGTAAGCTGCATGAAATTAATACACTCCATTACCAAACTGCAACCAATTCCTTCTCATAAAATAAAAGTTAAGAGAAAAAACAGATATATCTTTTTTCCAAGGATCCATCCATAAGTTATTTATAATGCTACTACACATGCAAAACAAAGCTATGTATGAGCTAGCTAGTTAAAACTCACCCCAACTTGAGAGAAATATCAGAGCTGTCTGAGTCGGGTGGAGGGGGGCCTGAGTTGCCGTTGGTTACAGACTCTGAAGACTGGCCTTCCTCACAGAGCATGTTGTCGGAATCATCAGCCGCTGCTTGTCTTTGCGCGGAGGTGATCCCCGCCACCTTCGGTTAAACTCTCATTAAAAAATGCAAAGCAAAATATTATATGAGATGGAGCACAAGAAGTTATGATGAGTGTTCATACTTGCTGCCTCAAACGCTCATTCTCTTCCATCAATTGCTTTCCCTGCAAATGTTGGATTATCAAATTCAAGAAAAGAGAACATGAGAGAAGACAAGGCAACCAGTAAAAGTTAAAATATTGCAAGTATTATCAAAATAGATTTATTCTCAAAACTGAATATGTTCAAAGTTTATCATTCACTATGTTGAAAAATATACCCTATCACGGCTGATAAAGAAGAGTTTAGGTATCTTACCCTTCTTTCAAGTTCATCAATCTCTTTCATAATCTTTTCACCCTGCATATTAAGTTAAATAAGTAAAAATATGACCATGTACTCTAAGATTGTTATCATGCAAGAATTGGGAAAAACAAAATATAACTATATGCAAACCTTTTTCTCAATCACACGGCTCAATCCAACTTCAAGAGTCTTTTCGAGCTGCTGCAGCTCTTCTATGTTTAATCCATGGATCTCCTCTCCCCTTAAATTCCTGTTTAACATGGAAATGGGGTTTTGTTTCAGTATGCACATCACAACAACTAATCAAATGCACAAACCAATCCATACCTCAGCTGCTGAGTTTTCTCTGCAATCTCCTTGCTCAGTCTGGCCATGTTGTTGCTCTCCACCAACTACAATATATATCTCATGTTATAAAAGTCGGCAAAAGAAAATGGAATGTAAAATTCGATCACACAAGCTTAAGAAAATCAAATTTAGTATTACAACGACTGTAATATTCATATCAATATTAATGTCGTATGAAGCAAATGACAAAGAAAGAATAATACGAATATGAAAGAAAAACATAAAATCATGCTGAAGTATCCATACATGAGTCAAATGGAAATCTTCAGAAACAACCTTGATTCTTGAAAAAGAAACAATATATCAGTTTCCGGAAGCCCTAAAGAAAATCACTTCTGGCTAGCAGTTGTTAGATAATTAGAATTTCTTTCATTGAATCAGAACTCCAAAATGAACCAACTAAAAGAGTGGATTAACAATAATTTAGCACGTATGAAAAATGAAAAAAGTTTATCAGAAAATCCAATAGCAGATATAAAAGAAACAAAACAATCCATAAAAAAACGTACTTCACATGCCTGCAACTCAAGTGATGGGGCTTCCATTTTCTCAAGGTTCTTCGAGTGGATGCGATGCCTCTCTATAATTTCCTTAACACTTCATATGAACAAAGTACCACATAGTCAATTACTGCATTGCTAGCAACGTTTTGAATTCCACATTCTAAAAGCACATATAAGACAAGTATTACAGTGAACAAAGATATTCTGCTTGATCTCAATGCCAAAGACAAGACAAGAATATATTCTTTTACCTCATTTGATTGTCGAATGGAAAAATTGTTTTTCAGCAAAATTCCATTATCACATGTAGATAAGGGAATTTAAGCACAAGTATCCTTAGAACATATATTATGAACAATCCACCTATAATAATGCAGGAGTAATTTGGCAGTTTCCACCAAAAGAAATCTAATGACATCAGCTTAAACATATAATTAAGTTTTGTGATGAAGAAGACATCACTTATTGCAGTTAACATTCTATGTGTAAGTGAGTGAATCACATTGAATAAGTACTAGATAGAAAATTTGTGGGAATTGAAACAGGCTCACATAAGTGAAAACATTTAATCCCATACGATGCTATTTAAGAAACAAGAGAGTGTTACGCAGTCTATTGCAATATAACAGCTAATAAGAAAGCAAGTATATTCCACTCACGTTGATATAAAATACCCTGATTAACTGGTTGAACTACAGCAGAATGCATGAAAGACTATCTCTTAAAGAACAGTCATAAATTAATGATGCACTTCAAAACCAATGCCTCTACTATTGGAGGAGTTACATGATAATTAAATTCTATGTTTAGCATGGCTAAATTAGCAAAAACTAAGGTGTTTTACGAGGATGTGTTCTTCTACACTTGCTGGGATAAGGAGACACTACCATCTCAGCGCAAATCAGAGAGAAATGATTCAATTAACATAGTGAGATTAAAGTTGTCTCAATCTTTTAAAGCTTGCCACAATCTTATAAAACAATACAATAAAACTGAAACCACAGCAAAAATCTTCATGGTATCTTTGGTAAATCATATATTTGTTTAACTTTTCACTAGAAAAAAAAAAAAAAAAAGATTGATAATCAAAGTAACTTCCAATCCATAGATCAAACCAACAATTTATATGTGTTTGTAATCTAGTTTTAATTAAGACATCAGTACCACAAAGACCTCTTATGAAAAGATCTCAAGCATTTCGGATAAAGTTTCTTAATAATAAAATGGCATAGAGGAAACCAATTTTCTTTGAAGGCAAGTTGGTAAGTAAATTCAACAAGCTCACTGATTTTCTATGGCTTATTCAAGTGCTAAATGTTCGGTGTGAATTATGTCTATAAATAGACAATCAAGCATTCACATAATATTGTACATGCTAGAAGCAATCAAATCTTCAAACATGAGATGTATTAGGAAGTTGGTAATTACTTTAGCACGGGGAGACAATGAAGAAAAAACCACTGTAATAATAAAACTAACAAGATCAAAATTTATAATAAAACCCCAAGAAGATGGGAGTAACCTTGACAAAAATTCATTGGATCAACAAGGTGAAAAAGACAAAAGAAAAACAAATCTGTTTCAAGGTGAAGTACAAGATGATCTCCTAAATCAGAAGACGGGTAAAGAAACTAAGACTACTACAAAAACAAAGTAAAATTAACAATAAAAAACAGATGACTTGATGATTGGTTATGCAACAATAAAATATTGTTGTTGCAATCAATAATTATAGTACAGTAGAACCTCTTTATAGTTATAAGGGTAGAGACCGAACTAAATTTATTACTATGAGGATTACAAAAATTATTGTCAAATGTTTTGACTTACTTATCCCTAGTGCAAGCGGTATAGAGATAAAGTAATATAATTATTATTTATTGCAATTAGATAAGAAAAAGAAGGAGATAATTTTAAGGATGATAGTACAAAAATACAAAAAAAATTGTGTCAAGAAGCTCTAAACATGCTTAAGAACTTAGAAACATTCTGGCTTCAACAAGAATGTGTCTATGCTGATGAGTTATTTCACACCCGCAAGTTTAAAGATGTGATAACAACTTTAGATAAATATTTTAGTTTATCTTAAACTTTTAATGTAACATAGCATATATATTTTGCAATATATAAATAATTATTACTATGTGGAGACAAATTATAACTTATTACAATGTGAAGTTTATTTTTATCTATAATTGGTCCAAGTTGGGACTAAAAATTTTTATGACTATATGAAGGTTATTCCTTTATAGAGTATCACTATAAAGAGGTTCTATTGTATATTGCATAACTTTTCCTTAAGAAGTAGGCCAAAAAGCAATAAGGGTGTTCGGTTCCGGGTACCCTGCAGTTTTTGAAGAAACCGAAACCGGAACCGATGATTCCTTGAAATTTGGAACACCCAGAACTGGAACCTGTAACAACGGTTCTGGTTTCGTTCTGGGTACCCTGTAAAATTATAATTACCCCCAAAAGCTTTTAAAATGGCAAAAAACCCTTAAAAACTTACAAATTACCCCCCCCCCCCCCCCCAAGACTTGTTAACAAAAATAAAATTACAATTATAAATTCAAAATTACAAACTCCTAATCGGTTCTTTTGATCACCCCTAAAAAGCAACACCCCCCCCCCCCCCCCCCCCAAGACTTGTTAACAAAAATAAAATTACAATTATAAATTCAAAATTACAAACTCCTAATCGGTTCTTTTGATCACCCCTAAAAAGCAACACCTTAATAAATCATATTTCTAATTTAAAACCATTATTTTGATGTTTCCTAATTCTAGACATTAAAAACATGGCCGTTTTCTTTCTTATTATTTTATGTACTCAGCCACTTTAAATACTACTGTAATCTTCTTCATACACTTAAATGAATATTACAACCAAAGGAAAACTAAGTCTTAAAGCTTTAAGACTGTAGAGCATTACAAAGACTAAATTAAGGTAATTAGATGCATCACCTTCAAAATTTTCAGCCAATCTCCAATTACAGTTTTATACATTCTTGTTTATCATATTAAACTCTTTAAGATATTTAGTATTTTCTTCTCAGACTTCTTTAAAATCAAATTGTAATTCTTATTTATTATATTATTTTGAAAAAATCCTTGCATGGTACATACAAATAAAAAAATGCGGTTCTAAAACTAAGGCATGAAGTTAGTATCTCATTGCACTAGCAAATGGATATGAATACAAAGAAAAGCATAATTTTTATATGCTAAACTTCTACTTCTGACCATCTAGTCTTACTGAAAATCATTTTGTTTAAATCTTCTAACATGGAAATCACTACTATCCAAATGAAAATGCATGTACAACGTTTTATCCAGGCCCAAAAATATTTGGAATAAAGCATTTTTACATGAAAAACAGCAGAAAAGGTATTTGAAATATCTCACTTTGCTAAAAAACTAGTCGAGATACATGGTATCTAATATAATGATTCATGTGAACAACAGTTAAAATCAAAAGCCTATGAAAAAATTATTCCAAATAAAAAAATTATTATAAAAAAAGAAGTATTTATAATACATGCTATCTCTCACACACAATGTTCTTGCGTGCATATATGTTCTGAAACACTAATATTTGTCACAGTAGGGGTGTACTGGTCATGAATTTCACATTATGTTTGTAAAAAAAAAAAAGAGCTTCAAAACATCAAATGGTTGCTATATTCCTAACACATATGTCAGATTAAGGTGTTAATGGCTTTGGTAGCAAGAAGCTTTCTTAAGAAGTCAGGGTTCCACTGGACCACCTACCTCTTTGTGTGAACTATTAATTCCACAAACAAATAATTCTACTGCCTCCATCTCGATAATTATCTAGACTACTTTAGTCTACTTGGACCACAAGAAATTAGGGAAGAAAGGTCAAAGGATAGAGATAAAGAAGGAAAGATATAAAAAAGAAATGTATTATAGCTATAGCTATCGCAGCTTCTATGGTAAATTATGTATTCTTTGTCAAAAAATTCATGACTTATCTCCTGCTTCAGGCAGTCCTTTCCCTGAAAATTTTATTAAAGGAGAAGCAATAAGAAAACCAATAAACATTTCAGACTAAACTTCCTGATAGAGGACTCTCTATTTTGTGAAGTTTTGAAGTTTTTTCTTTCTCAAATGATCATCAAATATTTGGAAATAATATTATTCATTATATGAATATCACCAATATGATCTAGTCATAGCTACTTCATTTTTTGTTTCAATATCGAATCACACTAATATTATCTAATAATATATGTATATTCTCCCAAAAATAAGCAAGCCTTTTCTATAACATACTTTTGGTCCTCCTCCAAGACTTCATACTTAAAACACTTAACATGAAATACATATTTCAAAAAAGAAGGAAAAAGTTTAAACACTTTCTGAAAAACAAGAGCAAGAAAGTAAGAAATCAAGGTTCAATAGAAGACTATAACATTAAAAGAAGTAAAATTTGTTCCCATCAATATTTCATGAACAACTTGCAAAGATTGCCACTGAAATTCCAACAAGATATCATGAAATGAACAAACCATGATAATAATAATAATAAAAACAACAGAATCAGAAGGGAGAACACACCACAAGCTTCAAAGAGAATCTCTCACTTGATGAAATAGCATACTGATAACACAACAGTACAACACCACCATAAATTTGAAACTATATGTCCTATCAACAATAGTAAAAAGGAAAAAAAAATAGATCCAAAAATGTATAGGCCAGACAATTCCTCATCGACAGATGAGACTGTATTTATAATTCCAACACTGTCATATCAAGTTGCAGATCATCCTTCTTTATTACATGAATATTTTATTACTTTTTCATATTTAATTAGAATCAACACAACTTCTAAGGCCACTACCATCTGTTATTCCTCTTAACACAACTTAAAATCAACTAAAATGCGTAAGATTATTATGGGCAAAGGGATAGAGAGAGACCTTGAGTTGGTATATTCAAAGAGTTTCCCAGTAGCCGAGAAGACTATAAGAGCAACATCGGCATCGCAAAGGACAGAAAGCTCTTCGGCTTTTTTGAAAAGCCCTCTTCGTCTCTTGGAGAAAGTCACCTGCCTCGCCGTGACGTTGTCGATTTTTTTGATCTGAATCTTCTCTCTGACCATCTTTTTTCCCTTCTCGTTATTATTTTTAACTTCCTAAAACAACAACCAATATACAACAATAAGAAAAAAAAAAAAAAAAATTTCTTTTGACTTGCTAGAGCGAAGAATTAACCAGCATGTAATCAAACAAAACAAACCCACCACACAAAAAAGCAAAGCAACAAAAGATTCTATCATCAGTGGTTGTTCAAGGGCAAAATAAAGGTGAGGGAGAGAAAAGTCAGTGGTAAAAGGGGCCGCATTCTGCTAAAAATGGAGAAAGAATCAGAAACAAAACCCTAGTCAGCAATATACAGATATGGAAATAAAAAAAAGAAGGGGAAGTAAAAGAGTTTGTTTGCAGATCCAGAAGCAATAAAATTGCACCAATTACAAGTCAAAACAAGCAGACGTGTGGATTGGTTAAGAAATTAATTGCATTCAACTTACCAGTTTTGTTAAGAGTTTGAAGTCACCAATGAAAAAGGGAGAGAAGGCAAAGAGAGAATGTGTGTGAAAAGAAAGTCAAATTGAAGATTTAAAAGAGATTAATCTTTTTATAGTGAAACAGCTTCTGATCGTGTTTCTTTTTATTACTTCTGTAAAAGGTAGGTAGGGGAACATATGTGAATTGAAATCTGGGAGAAGTAGGGCAATAGTAATATTTGTGGGAAATTGGAGGGTTCTTCTCTTCATTTTCGTTTTCATTTTTATCTTTGACAACCATGTTTTGATTATTCTTTTTATTTAACTTTAATAAAATTAATAGTATTATAATTTTAATAAGAATTAATATTAAATATTCAATTTTGTCACTTTTGAAATCCTATATTAAATGTTATTTAGCCTCTTCAATTTAATCGATATTCTCACTGAAGGACAAAAAGGCCCCTCTTTTAATGCCAATTAAAATTCACCCTTACTACCACAACAGGTAGATATCAATTTATTATTTTGTTTTCATTACACAACAGGTGTTAGCCAAAGGTCAAGTTCAAGTTTTGTAATGACTGAAATTAAATCCCTTTATTGCCATTCAAGTGTTAAATTAATAGGTCCAATTGGCAGTTGATCATTTTGTAAAAACCAATATATAATACACCTAACTTCATTCATTAAGCTATTAAATCTAAAATTCATGTAAACCTTCTATGACAGTTTTTTTTTTTCAAAAAGTTTATTTATATGTCTTTTTTCGATTCATTGAATTTGAGACTTGATGATGGGGTTTTGAAAATACCCCAAAATTAAGGCATTAAAGTCATTACCCGACCACCTAATCTCCTCCTATCTTTTCATCCATAAAGCAATCAAATCTTAAAAATCATGTGAAATTCTCAAATAATATTAGTGCATATCATTGTCAAATCTCTCTAATATTTTATTCTTAATAACTTTCACATGATTTTTATGGAAGGATGTCTGTTTTTTTCCCTTCTTCTTACGTTATTTTCATTCTAATTATTCTATGTCTATAACTTGAGAATAAAAAACAAAACAAAACGAAAAAAAGTTCCCTGATTTCAAAGACGAAAAATAATACAATTACCGAATTCAACGCACCGAATAATGTGACGCAATCCTGACCGTCGATCAATTATGAATTAATATTAATCGACTATCAGGATTACATCACATCATTCGGTGTATGAATTCGGTACGCTCCTTTCAGTAACTGTAGGTCTTACAGTTACTGTAGCATTACTATTCCAAAGACAGTAACATTAGGGCTATTACAAATTACAATAAAATTAGGGCTGAAATGTGATATATTGTTTATAGGGTATAAAGACAAATACGAGAGAATCAAAGGGCTCAATAACAATTAGCAAGGAAAAACAAAATTCGAAAGGTATGGAATTTCTTCTTTATTGGGAAACGATTATTGTCCGTACAGATTCTGCAGGAGAGGGGGATCAATAATACTACTTTCCCTTAGCGTAAGTTACATTAAGAAAGAGAAACCATCTGATTTGTGAGAAAATTAGGTAAGGTTGAATTAAAAGATTAATTGTGGGAAAAGATAATTCTACATCAAATTATAAAACTAACTTCATAATAATTGTAAAATTTATTTATGTTACTAATTATTTAATTAAATAAATAATTATTGGAGTATATTATAAATTAAACTACGTCTTTTTTTATTATTAATATATTTTTTTTTTTGTAACAAGGAAGTCAAATTTATTATGCATACATATATAACCTTTTAAAACCGTAACAATTTTAAAAGTAAAGTCTATAAAATTACAATAAATTTTAATGCTTTGATTTACAATAAAATATAACATCATAGTAAATTATAATAATATGTTTAGATTTTTAATTAATTAAATAATTAAAGTTGTTTACTTCATAAAAGCTATTAATGCTATGAATGAGTAAATCAATTAACTTGAAATACAGTTGAAAATTGTATATATTCATAACAAAATCTTCTATTCAACATTATTAAATAAAAAATTTATCAGTGAAAAAAGAGAATTAAAAAATTTGTGCTGCATATAAAAAATCTTTATCAAAATGGTAATGTTAAACTTGAAATTAACAATCCATCATTATAAACTTTTAACTACAAATTGATACCCATGAATATATTGAAACTCATGATTTTAAAACTCTGACCGAATCGATCCTTAAACTGGCATGCGGAACGGTTAAAATTCGTTTTTTAACCATTAGACTGGATTGACTTGAGATTGAAATCAAATCGTTTGTTCAACCACCGAGTCAGGGAACCAATGACATCAGTATGATATCAGATTTGTGATGTCAGTTTGAAATTTATTAATTATTAATATTTTAAATTTTTATTATGTCACATTAATATCAGCATGACATCACCAATGGTCGGCCTCTTCATCGAGTTAAGGCCCATCGGTATAAAAAACATGGTTGAAACTTAGAGCAATTAATATGAAATATTTAATATAAGACATGAAACTAAGAACTTTGCACGTGAAATGTTATATCCACAGAGAAGTTACTCGAAAGTGTCAACACCAAGTTATACCTCTGCCAGAGAAGTGACCCCACTTAAAAAAGTCCAATAATCATAATAATGACAAACTGGTAAGCCCTCTAACTTTAGGTGTAGCCCCCAATACAACCCTTGTAAATAGGTATAATTATATTTTTTTATCACAATATAAAAGGTCGAACGACTTGTGCATACCTAAGATTTACCATAACGATAAGTTGGTACCCAAAAAGTTTTGAAACGACAAATAGGTACCTTCCGTCATGTTCTATTAGTGATTTTTGTTTATTAAGAGTGAAAAGACTAAAATACCCTTTAAAGTTTCAATTTTAGTTTTTTATAAATTTAAAATTTTCTAAAAAACCCCCTAGGTTTGCTAACTTACTTAAACACCCCCATATATAAAAAGTTTGTTAAATGACAAAAACACCCCCACCACCCCATTACCAGATTCCGGCAACCATCGTTGGAATTTGGCCGGAAAACTGCATTACGACACAGATCCCCGTTGGATCTGTGTCATAACGTGCCGATCTGGCCGGAAAAGGCAAGATCTGGCCGTCCAAGCAGCAGCATTGATATGCTGGAAAAGGCCAGATCTACTGCTAGATCTGGCCGTTGACGCCGCAGATGGAGTTTTGCGACGTCGACGGCCAGATCTAGCCGTAGATCTGGCCTTTTCCGGCCAGATCAGCCACGGATCTGGCTGGAAAAGGCCAGATCGACGCGTTACGACATAGATCCGACGGGTCTGTGTCGTAACGCAACTTTCCGGCCAGATTCTGGCGGTGGTGGCTGGAATCTGGCACTGCAGGTGGTGGGGGTGTTTTTGTTATTTTACAAAATTTTTATATATTGGGGTATTTAGTTAAATTTGTAAACTTATGGGGTTTTTTAGAATTTTTTAAATTTATAAAAAACTAAAATTCAAAATTTTAAGGGTATTTTAGTCTTTTCACTATTAATAAACAGAAATAAACAGAAATCACTAACAGAACATGACGGAAAGTACCTATTTGTCATTTCAAAACTTTTTAGGTACCAACTTATCGTTACGACAAACCTTGGGTACGTGTAAGTCGTTCTTCCCAATATGAAAATATTAATACTGACAATTGTTGTTCGCTCATTAGTAAAAAATCTTTATAATTAGGAAAAAATAAAAATTTAACATTTTTCCTATGTTATCACTTCTATTTTCCTGAAATTTGATTTGAATACTTGTTCGATTCATGTATAAAATATAAATTTGTTTAGTTACCCTTTTCGATTTATTACCAATATCTTATTTTGTTTTGTATTTGTTATAATCTAACTATTAAATCACTTGAATTATTGTTCATATTGAAATGAATCGCAATTGGTATGAAGTTGGTCAATGATACTCAAACATGTAATTGTTTTGAGTGCCTATTTATTTTCTGTTCATATCTATGGATTGATCATGAACCGGAATATGGTTCCGGCCCTGAAACTGGGGAGATTATAGATTATTTTCAATCACATAGAGGGGTTTTCATGATTTTATAAAAGTTAAAGGAGATTAAGGGAATTATTGAAAATAACCGGAAAAAACAATGTTCTCTTCTGTTCCAATCTGTGAGAAGATGGGTTGTATCAGACTTGGACACGTGATGAAGTGGATAAAAGACTCTGATTCGTGGATTCAAAAGATCTACTTTTGACTAATAATATTCTGAACTAATTGAGAGGGTGTTTCTTTAGCTTATCAAAATTACTTTCACTTCGTATTTTAAGCAATTACGTGTTCGGTTAAAATACTAGTTAATGTGTTTAATAAAATATAATTTATAAGTATATTTTATTATAAAATAACTAAAAATGATACTACATTAAATAAGAATATACTATAAAATTTTAAAATTAAATAAGGATAATGTAGTAATATACTTGGTCAAACTAGTTTATAAACAGAGTACTTATAAGCAAAAAAAAAAAAATTACCTCCTTCCCAACTTATTATTTTTTGCTTATAAGCTCAAAAAAGTTATAAACAAACATGTCAACTTAATTTTAGACCTTCTAAGCTAGTTTGACCAGCTTATAAGCTTAATCAAACACCCCCTAAGATAATGTTATCTTATATTACTTTATTGTCACATATGATTGTCAAGTAATATAAGATTTCGGTAATCTTCCAAAATCAATAGTAATTACTATTGGTAATAGAAGAAGTAATCTGATTACCTCTCTTTTCTTAGGTATTTTAAGATTACTTGGTAATCATAATTTTGTTACAATTTTACCCCTTATCAATAAAATTTTAGAATAATAATACCCTTGTTATCTAACCAATTTGTGGACAATTTTAACCTCATATTCAAGATTTTTAAGACATAACTACCCTTATACTTCAACCAAATTACCCAAGACCACAACCACCCCCAACCACCACCTCAGCCACCCAAGACTGCTGCTGGCTAGTAGTGGTCGCCAACAGTCACTGGAACAGCACACAATCGATTGGATCTAGTCAACCATGCTACATTAAGGCTATTTTCGGCCATGTGATCCATGGTTAGAAACAACCAAATTTGGCCATGAAATGTGATCCATGGCAGGAAACGGCCTTGCCGGTGCATGAC